AAAATAAAACTAGAATGGTGTTACCGTTGTCACTTACTATTATCGAACATTTCCATGCAGAACTTAGCCGAACTAAATATCTGTGGCGTGACTTGGAAACGTTTCATGGAGATATGAATTATTCAAGCGCGTTGCTCACGCTGTCTGCCGAGGAAAAACTTTCGAAAATTGTGCAGATCTCTTTGCTACTTGCTTGCTTATTGATCCAAAAAAATATCTGCATTTTGTTTAAAACATGCTGTAACTACAGGAATAAAATATGCATCTCTCTCGTGCTCGATCTTAAATTGCGTGACTTAAAGAATGAGGCCGGTTTTCATTACGACGAGCCTAGTGGGACCCTGGGGTGTTCTAAACCGTGCCAGCTGGTCTGCACTATAAAACTTTCCACTTCCAATATCATAAGCACGCCACATTCTCAAGCCTCTATTCTCGTGCGAAAAGTTATTCAATGCCTGTACGCCGGTCATGGTATGTTTGATCATTGCTTTTGCGGATGGCTAAACTTGACACAAACTGTTGCATAGCAGCCCTTGACTCCACCTGGCTTCGGAGCAAGATGACAGTTTTATTTTGTTTTGTTTTGTTTTGTTTTTTTCTTAATCGAAACATTTTTTTGAATGATAAAATAGTGAGCACACTTTATTTAATCTCCTACACGTTTCGTCTGACAATAGCAGACTTCATCAAGGAGTTTTTACAAGTATGGTAAATCTTACCTATTTAAATATCAATCTTCTAGCTGTACGCATAGTGTGAAGCAAGCGTTTAGGTGTCCCCAAGATTTTGTGCATCAGTGACATTTTTTGGACGTTACATGCATGAGTACGTGATGTGTTTGGGGGTTACAGACTTGGTGAAGCAAACGGAAGGTATCCGAAACGACGCAAGGTGTGCCTGAGGTGTTGTAGGTGCGTGACATTTTTCAGACGTTAAATAAACGTGTCTAGTTGTGTTTGGGGTCACGATAACATCTTTAATCCTCAAACACATCACGTACTCGTACATGTAACGTGTCTAGTTTATTATTTACAAAAATTTCCGAAAAAAAATATTGGTTGAATTAAGGTGATAAAAAAGGCAGCGGAAGCGTATGATCCTGGCCCATTTGCAGCATACAGAAATGTTTTATAATCAAACGAGACAGACACCTGAGCCCGTCACTGCGGAACGAAACCCCCAAGAGTGCCGTGTAACATCTGGCTTGCACATTCATGCAGGAAAGGCCATAACATTCAGGAAAAATAATGGCAGATGCAGATGAAATTTTCTTGCGAAAAACAGGCAGTTGTAATGATAAAGGTTTTCAAAACATTCTGGTGGTGTTACCTTGAAAAAGGGATTGATAATTATGACAGGTCACCAGGTCACGCTATAAATACCCCTTTTGCGTGGAAATTTCATTATGGTCAATTATGGTGGTAAGTGGCAACAACAACACTTCCCAGTCTTATTTTCTGGAGAAATAACGGAATTTATGAACTTGATAGAGCTATCTATATCTCCTTTCAAGCGAGAGAGCAGAGTTTCCCGTCATCCACTGTATGGAAAAGCCGAAGTTGTTGTACTCGGGAACTTGTATGTCAACAAGCACGCGGCATGTGACTTTAAAATCTCCTCTCCTGTTACAATCTCTTCATTGAAAACTGTGACGATAAACAATCAAATCAAAGACTAATAAATGTTTTTTGCCGTAAGAAAGCCATATTTGCCTATTTTTAGAAAATCTCCTAAATAAACGACAGAAGGGAGAAACGGTACGATACTCCCAGCAATATTTCGCCTACATGCCTTTCTTTAAA